GCCAATTGGGAAATTCACTGTCTTCTCTGGTCATCTCAGGGAATTAATTTTAAAGTTTTCAAAAGACAAACATCTCCTGACAGATTCAGATCTCAAAAGTGAAGACAAGATGAATTTTGCATCCGCAGAAAAAATGTGCAGTTTGATAGTAATTGAACGACTAAATAAGGAAATTCTACAAATTAAATAGAGCGTGGCGAATCTCAAGCTAATGTACTACATCGAATCGTCGTTCTTAAATTCCAGCACTGTGTTGCATACTAGATTATATCGCATCTGGTATGTTGTATTTTTTACTAGAATCTGGAAAGCCTGGATTAAAGAACAAAAAGAATATAAAATAACAGACAACTTTTTGACCAGTAATTGTAACCTTTGCATCGAAACGCCCATGCTTTGATTAAACTAATACTGAAGCTTAACAGCGGTGAGTTAAAACCAGATATGTTCATCACCGGCATTTTTGGTAGCCAAGCATGTGAATCCTTATTTCGGGCTGCCAGATCCATGACTTTTACGTATTCAACAATAATACATTTTAGTATAGGATATGCTGAACCGAATTAAGAGAGTTAAGACAACTGATACCATAAACAATCTGAGGGGGACTTTTACATTTCCAAGGGAAGACAAAAGATTAAAAACCAGACTAATAAAAGAAAATTTACCACGTGAAGAAGAAATTTTAAATTTGGATATCAAATCTACAGTTAAAAAAGCTCTACAAAATGTCATAGAGGACATGAAACATCTTGGAATTAATGAAAAAGAAAACGATTGGAAATATATGCAGGTAGGTACCGATAACCGTTAATAAGACGGAAACAAAATATTGCAATTACACAGGATAATGAAGACGCCGACGAAGGCAACGCTAAAATTGTCGAAAACCCCGAAGAAAATTGACAAAAACAAATATTAGTAATGAGGACGATAAAGTTATGGATGAAGTTATGGACTTTCGAACGAGATTTCTAATGAAGATAGCGAATGTGATACTTTGGAAACGAGTTTTATAAGTTTTAAAGACTTTTCTAAAAAAGTGCACATTGAATCGGAAAAATCATCGTACCTATATAATATTATATATTCAATTATTAAAAAATCATCGTACTGCTGGCTTTTAGATCAGTCCGACGGTAGAGTAAGTACTGGCCGATTTAAAAGATTTATAGGCAGTACAAGGAAAACACCGAAGAAAACACCTTGCAAAAATTCCAAGTCGACCTTGACTATAAACAGAAGCTATGCATGGATCAAGCTAGTAGCTAGTAGCACAAGCACTGTATCCTCCTCCGACTCTATCGTTTTCAGATGAGATCTTGTCGTACACTGAAAGAAATATATGTTTGTTTTAGCAAATGTAAGTGGTTCATATATGGACTACCACATACATTGCTAAAACAAACATATATTATATTTAGTTTTAACATAATATGTTAAAACTAAATATAAAAATGGTTAAGGTAAATATATTTTATGTTTCATATATAGACTACCACATACATTGCTAAAACAAACATATATTTCTTTCAGTGTATAAATCAGAAAATGTATCGAAATTTGCCGGACTCGAGTTACACTTAAAAAACTATTATGCGGTTTTCTATGACCAATCGTGAGCTTTGCTGCACGAGCGAGGCGAATGTAGAATACACTATTTAGAAATGGCCGCCTTTCACCACGAAATATGTACACTATTTTTTATGACAAAATGAAAATTCGACTTTCGCTGCCCTTTAAGAGAGAAAAATTGTTAATATTTAAGTTAATTCATAAACAAAAATATACCAAACTAAAGACAATAATTGGCTTAATTAATAATATTAATTATTAAAGAACTTATGTTAAGCAAAAGTCGAATTTATGCTGCTAGTGTCATGAAAAAGCATTGATTAATATAATACTTTTCTTTACGATTTTTCAAATGTGCTTAATAAAAGTGTTGCTGGGTAAAAAAGTTTTGCTAACCAGAAAACGTATACTTTTCTTTACTATTTCTCTTAGTAAAGTAAGTATGTTATTTTTCATTAAGAATACAAACAAATATAGCCTTAAAAAATATACCCTTCAAAAAGAATAACTATAATATTAATGGTAATTATTTATGTTAAAATGTATAGCAAGAAAAAAAATAGAAACTAAAACCTTGAAGGTTTAAAAAATAATAGGGATATTTAAAATTTAATATAAAATTAATTAAAACTTTTTAAACCTCACATTTCTAATACAGACATTATTTTATAAACATGCAAAATATCAATATTAAAAATTACATAGAAGAAAAATCACATGTTAAAAATTCATTTATATCTTATTAAAGTTGACTCGCTAAATACCGTATTTGTAGGAGACGCAATAAGGTCGCGAAATGTAATGACGCCATATTGTATTACGGATATATATATATATATATATATATATATACATATACATAAATATACATCCTTAGTACAATATTGCGTCATTTTAATTTGGCAACACTGAAGGACGCAATAAAGTCTGTACAAGCCATATAAAATTTAAAATGAAATATACACGTGACGCAATATTATATCAAGATTAAAATGAGTTGATAATGTAGTGACTTTTGAAAAAAAAGTGTATATCTTATTTTTTAAGATAAAAAAAATCTGACCAGATTTTTGGAATCAGCAAAAAAAAGTACGCCAATATACTCTTCTATATTTTCGCTAAATACCGTATTTCTAGAAGACACAATAAGGTCGCGAATTGTAATGACGCAATATTGTATTAGGGATGTATATATATATATATATATATATATATATATATATATATTAGGGTGGTCCTTATTTTTGAAATTTTGAAATTCGATCGTCCCACCCCCAAATTTTGTAATAGTATACTTGTATACAAGAGAAAAAAAATCACACAAAATTTTGGATCGTTAATTCAACCCCTTCCCGTGCCTGTAAAGGATTAAATTTCGACAAAATCCTTCAATTTTTAGTGTTTTTGGCATTAACTTTTTAAAAATCGCCCAATTCAAAAAAATTTGCAGAATAAAATTTGTTCGTCTATTAAAGGTCTATAAAATGGTACCTTATTATATAATCCTAAAATGCACCGTTTCGTAGAAAACTGCATAAATGCACAAATAACACAAATTTTACATTGAAGTAACTTTCGCTTGTTTTTCAAAAATATCTTATTAGTCATTTGATTTAGCAAAATAATGCATCTTGGGTAAATTTTAAGATTTAAAATGGTCTGTGGCGCTTAGAAATACACTATGCACCTGACTACGCAGTGAATTCCCGCAGTAGCACTCTGTGCGCAGTAGTATTTCTGACGTCGCAAATAGGGGTATTAGTACTAAAAAGTTGGCCAAAATAATTTTTCGAGTTATAACTGTTTAAAATCGTATAAGATACTATATTATAGCATCTTATGCCATTTAAAAAACCGAATACCCTGTATAAGTGAAAATATAATATTTAAAAAAATTATAGGTATTATTTCATGATTTTTTGTTCCCTATAAATGTTGTTCCCTATAAATGTTGTAATTTCAGGAGTTTTTGAGATAAGAATAAGCACTACGGTTAAGGGAGGAATACCTCCCTTAACCGTAGTGTTTCACATTGTACGTGCCTATCTTAAAAACAGCTTAACACGGTAATTCGGACAAATCCGGAACCAATTCTTTTACTGATATTTAGTTAAATCCTCTGTAAATTAATAATTAAATAAAAACCGGGACGCACCCGGAAGTATTCCAAAAACTCCAAAAATTTTATATTTTAACGTAAAAATTTAATATTATTTCATATTTATTTTAAGCGTTTTTTATAATAAAATTTAGTTTACCATAGATAAAAGTAAGTATATACACGGAAAAAAATAATCGGTAGAGGCTACCGATTGGCAATCGGTAGCAGCTACCGATTGCCAATCGGTAGACTCTACCGGAAAAATCGGTAGTCTCTACCGAAAAAAAAAATCGGTTCCCTCAACCGATTTTTATCGGTAGTAGCTACCGATTATTTTTCGGTAGAGTCTACCGATTTTTTCTGTAAAGTCTACCGATTTTTTCGGTAGCCGTAACCGAGAAAATCTGCATCGATGCCCTGTTAGAAAATTTTAAAAAAATATTAATACTTAAAAATATTAACATTTAAAAATAATATTAAACATTATTCAAGTTAATAAAAATTACTCTTTTCAGTCAAACATTTTGAGATGGTATTCATTGTAATTATTAGAAAATGCTATTCAAAGAAATGGGTTTTTTTATCATCTATTTAATTTAATATTTATTTAGAATTGTAAAAAATTTAATAAAAATTACTCCTCATTTTTAATATTTTTGTATTTCAAATTTATTTATACCTCAAAAAAAAATACTATTTTCTATTTAATAAAAAGCGAGTATTTAACTTCTCGCTAAAAAAATACAAAAATTTTCAAAAATTGGTAATTGATTTTTTCGGTAGCCTGCACCGAAAAAATCGGTATACTCTACCGAAAATAATCGGTAGCTGCTACCGATAAAAATCGGTTGAGGGAACCGATTTTTTTTCGCTAGAGACTACTGATTTTATCGGTAGAGTCTACCGATTATTTTTTTCCGTGTAGTAAAAACATTATTAAACAAGTCCAAAAATTGTTATTTCGAAGAATTCTTGAAATTAATAAATTTCACTTCGAGGAACCCGAATTTCGCCTAAGCAGGCGGGGCTTCCTGGTAGTGCAGGAGTGCAAAAAACTTTAAAACATTGTTTTCCATTCATTTAGCTATCCAATGTAAATAAAAATTGTATTATGCGACTTATTCTACAAAATTTACTTTTGGCCAGCTTTTAAAAGCGAATACCCCTATTGCGTCGTGTAGCTATTTAAAAAATGAGCAAAGTTCGTAAGTCGATATATTTGTTAGGCGTAGAAAGTAGCCAAATTACGGGGTCAAAATTACCGTCAATTCGTCAAGTACTGCAATTTTTTTTTATAATATGCGAGTTGTTGGACTAAGTGTCCATGAGGGCGCTTCATTCAATTACGGAAGCAAAATTATTCTGGGATAAAGCACGAATACCTACAAGGAGAGTTGATCATTGTGTTACCAAACTTGAAAAAGTTTATAATGATTGGCGTAAGATACAGAAGAACGCTTGCAATAGAGCAGAGTGGCAAAAAACTAAAGAAAACAAATTTTCTGAAACACTGGACGATTTGTTCGATATTGCTCATGCAGACGCCTTAAGCTTAATAAGTAAGATGTATTTAATTTCTATATCATCCGGTATGTAATCTTTAATATTTTTAGAAATTCAAGAAGATAAAGATTTTTTAAACGCGCAAAGAAAAAAAGGTAGACAAGGTATTATGGCAGGTCTAGATCTAAATTTATCAAATAAAGAAAAAAGAAAAACTGACTGTTTGCAAGCTGAATACTCAAAACATTTAGAAAACGAAATATCTTTTCAAGGTAAATATTACCAATTAATTTATTTAAAATTTAAATCTTGTGTGATTATGTCCGGCATAAGTATGGTTTAATATTAATTTTTTAGATGAATCAATGGTTTTAGCGTCTTCAGAGTCTTCGGATGATTCAGATTCCGTTTTAGATCATCCATTGCCATCTACTTCTAGTATGCAAGTCGTTCAATTAACGAACCCAAAAAATAAAAGGGCTCGAGTTGACTTTATTAACAACAGGATTGTTTCTCCACTCGATCGTTGCAAAATCAGCGATAGAAATGCTGTTCATTTACTAATTGCAGTAGCAGAAGCACTTGGCCATGATGTTTCAAATTTAATTATTAATCGTTCGTCAAGTAAAAGACGACGAGAAAGCACCAGAAAGACATTGGCGGAAAATCTAAAAAGTGATTTTATACAAACTTCTTCAACTCCTTGCAAGGCTATAGTTGTACACTTGGATGGAAAACTATTGCCCTGTGGGAATTTCACGCTAAATGATCGCTTGCCCGTAGTATTATCATTTAATGGCGTCGAGCAATTACTCGGAGTTCCAAATTTGCCTTCAGGAACAGCCCAGAGAGCCATGCTTTGGGAAAGAAATTAGTCAACTTTTTCCCAACTAAGTTTGGACTATGATATTTTACATTTATTGGGGTTTATTTGGACATATTAATTGTATTTTCATAAAGTTTGACCAAAAATTGACATGTTTTATGCCAAATTATTTTCCAATGCGATAGCACAAAAACTACACAAATATACAGTCCTAGATATAGTTATTATTGGCCAACGTCGTTTGTAATGAAGTTTGGTCGAAAATTGGCAAAGCGTTTGTAATTCAGATTGATCGAAACTTGGCAAATAATTGATCAGCATGGAAAAAGAATCGCAATGGCAAGTTATATGTCGTTAATATTTCAAGACCTTTTCTACAAAAAGGCGTCAAAAAGTGCTTGTGTGATAGTTATTACAAAAAAATATAATCATCTGTGCACTAACTAAACGTGTTAAGTTTTAAACGGCTTTAAATTTTTAAGGTTTTTAATAAAACATTCAATAAGCGTTTTATTTACCCAATTTTCAAATACTCTCCAAAAAATTAATAGATAGATTAATAGATTTTGATATAAATGAGAAAAAGAGTAATATTCTTTCAAATATAATAATATTTGTTAATACTTTGGATTTGTCCAAATATTTACCAATATTTGGTCAATTTTTCAAAAGCCTACCTAATTGCCCAAATAACCATATAAAATGTCATCGTTTTTCCATGCCCAAACATTCCCAAAATTAAACCAACGGTAACCTACCTAATTTATCCAAACTGCTTTGGCATATTATTGGGCACAATTTGGTCATTTATTGTTGGCCATCGCGATTGCACAAATACCATAGAAATATACAGTCCTATATAGTACATTTATTGGCAAAACTTTCCCAAAGGTAATGGGCAATTCTTGGCCATGTTTTAACCTGATATGGCTCTCTGGGAGGGCAACAAATGGCCAATGCTGTGTTTGATTTACTACAAGAATGGAATATTTCTTCTAGTGTTAAAGCGCTTTGTTGTGATACGACTGCCTCTAACACCGGCAAAAGAAATGGTGCCTGCATTCTCCTGGAACAACTTTTAGAGCGAGACATACTATACCTTCCATGTCGTCATCATATTTTTGAAATAATACCTAGAAGCGTTTTTAATTTAAAATTCACACAGCCATCTTCTGGGCCCGACGTCGCTCTTTTCAAAATGTTGCAGACTAAATGGAAAGATATTGACATATCCAAATATAGTCCTGGTATTGAGGATGATGTAGTTAAGTCCAACTTAGAGGGTATAAAAGATGATATCATAAGTTTTTGTAATGGTCTATTGGAAAATAAAACCAAATTAGAGACGATTACAAAGAGTTATTAGAGTTATCGATTATATTTTTGGGGGCAAGTCCCACTCATGGAATTACCTTAAGGCAACCGGGAGCAATTCATCACGCAAGATGGATGGCGAAAGCTATTTACTCACTTAAAATGTATTTGTTAAGAAAAGAATTAAAATTAAACAAAAAAGATGAAAACGGATTGAGAGATGTAAATATATTTCTTATCAGAGTGTACATTCGAGCTTGGTTCTAAGCACCAGAAGCTCTGAAGTCTCCCAATCAAGATCTGATTTTCTTGAAACAAATCATTGACTATCCAGATAGGCTAATTTCAAAAATTGTTCTCCAAAAATTTTGTAATCATTTATGGTACCTTGCTGACGAAACTGTTGCATTTGGATTTTTTGACGATGATGTGGATTGGGAAGTTAAGGCTCAGATGGCAAAAAAGGTAGTCAATAATTTGTTACGATCTGTTATATAGGGGGGAGGGGTAAAAATGTCGTTTTAAAAACGTTACGTAATTTAAGTACAGCCCCTTACTGAAACCTTAAATTTGTGGTAATTATGCACAAATGCAATTTTCTACGAAATGGTGCTTTCTAGGATAAAATCTCAAGAGACAATTTTTATAGACCTTTAATAGACGAAAAGATTTTAATGAGTAAAATTTTTTGAGATATGCGATTTTTGCGGATTAAATGGCAAAAACCTTAAACATATTTTTTTTATATAATTTTTGCAAAATAGATAAAATAGCATAAAGAACTCATGTTTCAGACCTTTTGCCGCACTCTGCGACAAAATGACATCTTATGACATTTGTTCTTTAATATACTATTATAATTATAAATTTGTATTTGTATTTTTATAGCTCCGGACGGAAATATGTATAATGTATAAAGAATACTCAATTATATTAACTAACATTTTTTTTCAAAAATACTCGTACTCTTTACTCGTTTTTTCACGATTACTACTCGTAACCGTAACCTCTCTTTACAAATGTACTTACGAGTAAAGTACTTACGAGTAAATAGTACTCGTACTTAAAATTTTACGAATACTTTTTTTAGTACTCGTGCCCAGCTCTGGCTATATGATTATGAAACCCAAAGATTGTAATAATTAGCACGTTTTCGTTCGGTTTTCTTTACATTGTTTTTCTTTAAAAACCTATCAGGAGTATATCATCCAAGTATATTACAGAAACAAGCCCTTTTTTCCATAGTTTTGCCATTACTGGTTTTAATAATTTAGTGAATATTAGTGGAGCGACATTTAGGCCAAATGAGAAGATCCATTCCAAAACTCGACTTATCCACTTTTTAATAAAAATGAGTTAGTGGTATCTGTACATTTAACATGTATCCCCCTATACCCTGAAAAGTTCATAATATTCTAAAACTAACCTTATTCCATTTAATATTCATTTACAAATTGACTATCGTTCCAAAACTTGCCTTATTTATTGGTTATATCATGCAGAACTCGGCATATACGTATGGAATTTTAAATTATTTTAAACTGGAGCTATACCTTTTTAATCAAGGTATATAAATGTTTTACTTATGCCTTTATATTTCGTTTAAAGTATTGTGTTTGCCTGATATGCGTTAGTACTCACGTGTAAGGTTTTTGACATTTTGCTCGAAAACAACTAATATGGATAAGCCGAGTTTTGGAATGCACCTCCTCAAATGATAAGCAATTGAAGTAAAAATTGTTTGTATAGATATACTTTAGGTATTTCCTTGTATCATGCGCTCTAGTAACATAAATAACTATAGGAAAACATTAATAAATTTGCAATCCAAATTATGTATTGAAAATGTATTTAATCCATAGATAATAAATCATAATAGTACATTATCTAACATTGTATTGAATTGTATTGTGGCCTAAATAGTGATGGGCGGTTGCCCGAGCAAGGGTCAGGTCAGACGGACCTTTTGCCCTCTTTAGTGGAGAAAAGAAGAGCTTAGATAGAGCAGAGGACTGCGCTTTACAGCACGGATATAAGGAGAGGTTTGGTAGGTAGTTTTGAGCCGCCAGCGGCCTAAAATGCATATAATCTAGCAGGGGAAAGAGAACAGAGTGCCTATAATAAGACACCCGCCCCCTTCGTCTGCAGAAGTACAAGATGAACTCGTTCCATGGTAAGGTTTTTTTTTTAATTGTTGTGTTAGTGTTCTTTGTGAGGTTACATAGGTGAACAAATTTAGATGTCTTTAAAGAGTTTGAGGAACTGAGATATTTGGCACTTTGAGGTATGAATTTACTGAGGAATTTACTATTTAGTAGAAAAGAGTTTTGTACAAATTTATTACTAGTTTTTAAGAAACAGAAATACATTAAAAATTTTATTTTGAGCTTGCTGTAACATGTGACGTTACAGCGACATTTGGTGATACCAGTGATATATACTTATTAAAATTTACAGATTTCTAGGTTTTATGTTTTTTGTATGATAAAGTTTACAAGCTGTATAGTGATTTGGATTCTATGGTTCTATTTTATATTGATTTCATTGAATTTGTATTCAGTGTATGCCAATACATAGTTTATGTTTGTACTGGTATCACCACCAATAACTTTGTGTTTTTTTTTGTTTGTTTGTATTTTTTCTTTCATTTCCCTTTTTTTTTGTTTTGTCTCTATTTGACCCCTTTTGGTTTTTCTACATAGTCATGGGTTTGTATGCTTTTATTTATTGCATTACTATGTTGTAGCTAAGATAAATCCTCAGTTTGGCTCGGGTGGTAGAAAGCCTCTAATACCTCGGTAGAGCCGCCTGTTTGCTGGATTATAGTCAACCGCTATTCTAAGTATTTGGTTGTCTATTTGTTCGATCCTATTAAATACAGCTATGGTGCTTGTTTTGATGAAATCCTCAAACGACGGGGTCTTTAAGTCGTTTCTTATATTCACATTCCTTACGTACCATGGAGCTGTTGTGATGGCCCGAAAGTATTTATTTTGCAGGGTCGCAATCTTTTTTCTATGCATCGCTGCCGCTGTGCACCATGCAGCACATGCATACGCGGCTACCGGCCTCATGATTGATTTCCATATCATAAGTTTGTTTTTCAGGCTTAGTTGGGATCTCGGAGCGTAGAGTGGCCTTAGCGCTCCCATAATCGCATTGACCTTGTCTCCCGTGTTTTTAAGGTGAGGTCCCCAAGTGAGCTTTGAATCAAGGGTGACTCCCAGGTATTTGACGGATTTTTCCCATCTGACCTCGTTTTCTTCCAGCGTCAACGGCTCCGGGTTCAGGCCAGATCCTTTTTGGAAGATTATTGCTTGCGTCTTCCGTGGGTTAATTTTCACCCTCCACTCACGGGCCCACTTCTCGATGTTGTCTAGGGCCTGCTGGAGTTTGGCCCTAATTCTTTCCCTGTTTAGACTTGTTACATATATGGCCGTGTCGTCGGCATATAGTGCCATCTCCACTCCAGGGGTGCGGGGTA